TCCTGCTCTTCCTCACCTTTCTCCTGTACCTCGCCGTCGTCTTTCTGCTCCTCCCCCGCAGATCCGACATCGCACACAAGATCCCGACGTCATGAGACAATCGCAAATCGGTTCGTGAGCGTCCAAAGGCCAGACAGGGGAGAGAACGCCAGTACTGCTTTTTTGTGCCGCGGCGACCAGATGCGTGGACCAGGCCATCGCTGAGAGTCCCCATGGGTCATCGGGAGGTCCCAGGAAGCTTCCAGGGGTCTCCAGAGAACTCCGGGGGCCCAAATACCCAGACCCCCGACGTCGTGATTCCGTCACAGCGTCGACCCCCAGAGGTCTGGACCCCTTCCCCGGAACTGGTGTTTCATCTTGAGTCGTTTTTTGACGGCCCCGAGGCACGGGAAGGGCCCCCGGAGGCCGGAAATAGCGAAAAAGCTCCCGTCGTGATTCGATCACAGCGCGAGGAGGGCTGGGTAGGGCCAACGCACATGTGAAGACTTCCGAGGCCCTCGACTCGCCAAGTCGCCCCCAGCGGCGGGAAGAGAGACCCACGCTTCGCGCGCCGCGTTAAGTCGGGCCTGTCCCTCTACAGGGGGAAAATGCAAACATAGTCAAACAAAAACACATGGGGACGATGTTTCGACTATTTTGGACAATCGTTGACCATTTTTGATTATGTTTCGACAATGTTGGACACTTTCGGAGCATGTTTCGACTATGTTTTTGATTTTTCCTCCAAGATCCGCCTGTAGGAGGACATGCCCGACCTAAGCGTCGCGGCAAGGGGCCGCTGAGGGCTGGCCTCCTCCGGTGGGGCGGCGCGAGGCCGCACGAAGCTCACCGCGCATCGCTGGGCGCGAGGCGCAGAGTCGGGTGGCCCAGGCCGCCGGACACCGAGGCCCCTCCAGCGCCGCGCGGGGGCGCAGAGGCAGGTGGTCTTCTACCTCCTCCTCCCCCTCCCCCTTTTCCTCCTCCCCCTCCGCCCCCCCCTCCTCCTCCTCCTCCCCCTCCGCCCCCTCCTCGTCCTCCTCGTCCTCCTCCTCCTCCTCCTCCTCCTCCTCCTCCTCCTCCTCCTCCTCCTCCCTCCTCCTCCTCCTCCTCCTCCTCTCCTCCTCCTCCTCCTCCTCCTCCTCCCGCTCTTCTTCCTCCTTCTCCTCCTCCTGTTCCTCCTCCTCCTCCTCTTCCTATTCCTGCCCCTCCTCCTCCCGCTCCTCCTCCTCCTCCGCCTCCTCCTCCTCCTCTTCAATTCCAATTCCTTCCAGAAAGCTCCTCCCTGTCGCACCCCGAGGCCAGTTATTAGGGCGGGCCGGGCGTTTCGCCTGAGACTTTCTCACCATTATGGTTCTGAAGTTTAAAAGGTGACAACAGCTTCACAGATGGAGGGCGGGTGGTTTTCAAAATGTGGGTCTCGCTTTAGCGCCGCGCACATACGTTTTCAAAATTTGCAAGGGCTTCACGGATTGAAAGCGGGTGCTTTTCAAACTGTGGTTCTCGCTTAAGCGCCGCGCACATTCGGTTTAACAATTTGCAATGCAAGAGTTTCACGGATTGAAGGCGGGTGGTTTTCAACATGTGGTTCTCACCTTAGCGCCCCGCGCATTCTCTTTCAGAAATTGCAAGAGTTTCACGGATTGAGGGCGGTTCCTTTTCAACATGTGGCTATCGCGTTAGCGCCGCGCACATTCGTTTTAACATTTACAAGAGTTTTGCGGATTGACGGCGGGTCGTTTTCAAAATGTGGTTCTCGCTCCAGCGCCGCGCACCAGCATTTTTTTAAATTTGCAGAAGTTTCACGGATTGAGGGCGGTTCCTTTTCAAAATGTGGCGCTCACCTTAGCGCCGCGCACATTAGTTTTGACCATTTGCAACAGCTTCACGGATTGAGGGCGGGTCGTTTTCAAAATGTGGCTCTCGCCCTAGCGCCGCGCACATTCGTTTTCAAAATCTGCAAGAGTTTCACGGATTCCCATGGCAAACGTACCAGAAGAGGTGTTTTGGAAGGATTCCGGATTATGCGGGCGCAGCAGTTATGTTGACTCGCGGTGTCGAAATCCCAAACATGGCGCTCTGGCACGATTCCGGATCTTCAAGACGCAGCACTCAGGTTGATATGTGGCGTTGAAATCCCGGGAACAATTTCTTGGCATGCTTCAGGATCTTCAAACGGCTGTCTTCCGACGAGGCAGTCCCCTCGATGGAAATGAACCGTTGTGGGGGCATATGAAGGGGGAGCTTGGAGGGAGGGTTAATTCTAACATCGTTGATGATTCTTGGTTTTACACTGGTCCTCCACCTCCTCCTCCTCCTCCACCTCCTCCTCCTCCTCCTCCCCCTCCCGCGTCCCGAGTCGCCACGACGGCTTGAGGCGCGAGGCCGCGCGAAGACCACCGCGCATCGCCGGGTGCGGGGCGCGAAACCGGGTGGCCTAGATTGTCGAGCACCGATGCCCCTCCCGCGCCCCAGCTGGCGGCGCGCACAAGAGGGGCGTCCGGCCAGAATTTCGAGGGGACCCCGCCGTGGCGACGAGGAGCCCCCCCGAGGCCCGAAAACGGGGCGAGGAGCGCGCAGGAATTCCGAGCCTTCGGCCGTTCGACCCCCGTTCCCGCGCCCGAGCCGCCGCGACGGCCCAGGGGCCGCCGCACTAACGAACCCTCGGCCGGCGCGAGCCCGCGCGCGCAGCGCGCCGCGACGGCCCGAGCGCGCCGCCCACCGAACCTTCGGCCGGCGCGTCTGTGGGGGAAAAAACAAAAAAAACAAAAAACACGCGTGGGAAAAAAAATACACCAAAAGCAGACACACAGTGTGGGGGGGGAAAAAAAACAGTGTGTGTGTGTGTGTTTTCCCACAGACTGTGTGTGTGCGTTTTTTCCCACTGTGTTTTTTTGTCCCACAGCCCGCGCCCGCAGCGCGCCTGGGCCCCCCCCGGCGGGCCCAGCGATGGCGCCCGCGGGCCGCGCCGCGCTCCTCGCGGCGGCCCTGGCCGCCGGAGCCGCCGGCGCAAAGCCACCGCCGGCGACGGCGGCGGCGGCGGCGACGACGACGACGACGGCGACGGCGGCGGCGACCACGACGACGACGACGACGACCACGACGACGACGACGACGACGGCGACGACGACGACGACGGCGACGACGACGACGACGACGGCGACGACGGCGACGACGGCGACGACGACGACGACGACGACGGCGACGACGACGACGACGACGGCGACGACGACCACTCCACCGCTACCACGACGACGGTGACCAGCACCACCACCACCACCAGAGGGGGCGAGGACGACCGCCACGTCTTCGTCGTCCTCCTCCTCCTCTTCCTCCTCCTCCTCCTCATCCTCCTCCTCCCCCTCCTCCTCCTCCTCCCCCTCCTCCTCCTCCTCCTCCTCCTCCTCCTCCTCCTCCTCCCTCCTTCCTCCTCCTCCTCCTCCTCCTCCTCCTCCTCCTCCTCCTCCTCCTCCCCCTCCTCCTCCTCCTTTCCCTCCTCCTCCTCCTCCTCCTTTTCCTCATCCTTCCTCCGTCGTCCGTTCGGTTTTGGAGCGAACGTCGGGGACTCTTGGAACTTCGGACGCTTCCAAGGACCCCTATGCAGGCCCGCGGGGGTCGTCGTCGTCGTCGTCGTCGTCCTTCGTCCTTCGTCCTTCGTCCTTCGTGCTTCGTCCTTCGTCCTTCGTCGTCGTTCGTCGTTTGTCGTTCGTCGTCCGTCGCCGTCGTCGTCGTCCGTCGTCGTCTTCGTTCGTCGTACGCCGTCGTCGTCGTCGTCGTCGTCGTCGTCCGTCGTCTTCCGTCGTTCGTCGTCGTAGACGTCGTAGGCGTCGTCGTCGTCGTCTTCCGTCATCCGTCGTCCATCGTCCGTCGTCCGTTCATCATCATCGTCATTCGTCGTTCGTCGTTCGTCGTCCGTCGTCCGTCGTCGTCGTTCGTCGTTCGTCGTCGGTCGTCGTTCGTCGTTCGTGTTTCGTCGTTTGTCGTCGTCGTCGTCGTCCTCGCTCGTCATTCGTCGTTCGTCGTCGTTCATCGTCCGTCGTCCGTCGTCCGCCGTCGTAGATGTCGTATACGTCGTCGTCGTCGTTCCTCGTTCGGTGTTCGTCGTGCGTCGCTTGTCATCCGTCGTCGTCCACGTTTGTCGCTCGTCGTTCGTCGTCCGTCGTCGTCGTCGTCCTTCTCGTCTGCCGTCCGTCGTCCGTCCTCGTCGTCTTCGTTGTCGTTTCCGTAACATTAGTTGTCGTCGACGTCGTAGGTGGCGAAGACCTCGTAGACGTCGTCGCCGTCGTCGTAGACGTCGTCTTCCGTCGTCGTCTTCGTCGTCCATCGTCCGTCGACCGTTGTCCGACGTCGTCGTCGTCGTCGTCGTCGTTCGTCGTCATCGTCGTCGTCGTTCCTCGTTCGTCGTCGTCCGTCGTCCGTTGTCGGCGTCGTCGTCGTCATTCGTCGTTCGTCGTTGTTGTTCGTCGTCGTCGTCGTCGTTCGTTGTTCGTCGTCTGTCGTCGCCGTCGTCGTCGTCGTCGTCGTCGTCGTCGTCGTCGTTCGTCCTTCGTTATTCGTCGTGGTTCGTCGTCCGTCGTTAGTCGTTCGTCGTCCGTTGCCATCGTCGTCGTCGTTGTCGTCGTCGTCGTTGTCGTCGTCACCGTCGTCGTCGTCGCCGTTGTTGTAGACGTCTCAGACGTCGCCGTTCTTTGTCGATATTACCGTCGCTCTTCGTTCGTCGTTCGTCGGTCGTCGTTGTTGTCGTCGACGTCATCGTCGTTCGCGTTCGTCGTCGTTCGTCGTTCGTCCTCTGTCGTTGTGTTCGTCGTTCGTCGTCGTCGTGTGTCTTTCGTAGTCGTTCGTAGTCGTGCTTCGTTCTTCGTTCATCGTCCGTCGTCGTCCGTCGTCGTCGTCGTTCGTCGTCGTTCGTCGTTCATCGTCTGTCGTTGCCATCATCGTTCGTCGTCGTCGTCGTGTGTCGTTCGTAGTCGTTGTTCGTCCTTCGTGCTTCGTTATTTGTTCGTCGTCGTCCGCCGTCGTTCGTCGTCGTCGTTCGTCGTTCGTCGCCGTCGTCGTCGTTTGTCGTCTCAGACGTCGTCGTCGTCATCGTTGTCGTTGTCGTTCGTCGTCGTCGCCACCGGGGCCGTCGTCGTCGTCGTCCGTCGCCGCAGACGTCGTATACGTTGTCCGTCGTCGTCGTCGTCGTCGTCCGTCGCCCGTCGCCCGTCGTCGACATCTCAGACGTCGTCGTCGTCATTCGTCGTCGTCGTGACCGTCGGTCGTCGTGGTCGTTCGTCGTCCTCGTCGTCGTCCGTCGTCCGCCGTCCGTCGTCCGTCGTCTGTCGTCTGTCGTCGTCGTGGTTGCAGTCGTCGCAGACGTCGTCGTTGTCGTCGTCGTCGTGCGTCGTCGTCGTCACCGTCCCTCGTCGTTCGTCTCTCGTGGTCCGTCGCCCGTCGTTGTCGACGTCGTCGTCGTCGTTCCTCGTTCCTTGTTCGTCGTTCCTCCTTCGTCGTTCGTTGTCGTCGTCGTCCTTCGTCGTCCGTTGTCGTCGTCGTCGTCCGTCGTCCGTTGTTGTTCGTCATCGTTCGTAGTTCGTCGTTCGTCGTCCATCGTCGTCGTCGTCGCCCGTCGTCCGTTGTCGTCGTCGTCGTCCGTCGTTCGTTGTCGTCGTCGTCGCAAACGTGGTTGTCGTTGTCGTCATCACCCTCGTCGTCGTCGTAGACGTCGTAGACGTCGTTCGTCGGCGTCTGTCGTCCGCCGTCCGTCGTCCGTCGTCGTCGTCGTCTTCGTCGTCATCATTGTCGGAGACGTCTCAGACGTCGTCGTCGTCGTCACCCTCGTCGTCGTCGTCGTCGTCACCTTCGATCGTCGTTTGTCGTTCGTCGTCCGTCGGCGTGGTTGTCGTCATCGACGTCGTCGCTCGTCGTTCAGCGTTCGTCGTCCGTCGTCGTTGTCGTGCGTCGTTCGTCGTCGTCGTTTGTCGTTCGTCCTCGTTTGTCGTTCGTCGCTCGTCGGCAGTCGTCCGTCGTCGTCGTCGTCGTCGTCGTCGTCGTCACCGCCGTAGTCGTCGTCGTAGACGTCGTCTGCGTCGCCGTCGTCGTCTTCGTGACCGTCGTTGTCGTTCGTCGTCCGTCCCCGTCGCCGTCAATGTCGTTGTCGTCGTCGTCGTCCGTTGTCCGTCATCCATCGTTCGCCGTCCGTCGTCCGCCGTCTGTCGTCGTCGTCGTAGACATCTTAGACGTCGTAGACGTCGTCGTCGTTTGTCGTCGTCACCCTCGTCGTCGTCATCATCGTTGCACACGTCGTAGGCGACGACGTTCGTCGTCGTCCGTCGTCCGTTGTCCGTTGTCCGTCGTCCGCCGTCCGTTGTCCGTCGTCCGTCGTCCGTTGTCTGTCGTCCGTCGTCCGTTGTCCGTCGTCTACGTCGTCGTTTTCGTCGTCTACGTCGTCGTTGTTCGTCGTCGTTGTCACCGTCGGTCGTCGGTCGTCGTCGTCGTTCGTCGCTCGTCGTCCGTCGTCGTCGTCGTTCGTCGTTCGTAGTTCGTCGTCCGTCGTCCGTCGTCCGTCGTCCGTCGTCGTCGTTCGTCGTCCGTCGTCCGTCGTCGTACGTCGTCGTCGTCCGTCGTCGTCGTCGTCGTCCGTCGTGGCCGCGGGCGCCCTCCGAGCCTCGGGCGCCCAGCGCCGCGGACGACACCTCGGCGCAGCCCTCCGCCGCCGCCCGGCCGCGGGGCCGCCACAGCCATCTACACGTGGTTCACTTCTGATTCTTTGCGAGTTCCCTGATTTTTTAGGGGGCCGAGATCCTTGATTTTGAGAGTTCCCTGATTTTTAAGGGGGCCGAGATCCTTGATTTTGAGAGTTCCTTGATTTTTTAGGGGGCCGAGATCCTTGATTTTGAGAGTTCCTTGATTTTTAAGGGGGCCGAGATCCTTGATTTTGAGAGTTCCTTGGTTTTTTGGGGGGCCGAGATCCTTGATTTTGAGAGTTCCTTGATTTTTTCAGGGGCCAAGACCCTTGATTTTGAGAGTTCCTTGATTTTTCCAGGGGCCAAGACCCTTGATTTCGTATTATTTGAGAGTTCCTTCATTTTTGTCAGGGGGCCGAGATCCTTTCATTTCTAACTCTTCTATCCTGGACCTCTTCCTGGCCACTAGGGGGTCAGGAACAATCAGAAACGAGCACAGTTAGAAACGAGCACGATCAGAGATGAACGACTTGTAGCGTTCCTTGTGGCAGGGGCCCGGCTGCAAGGGCGAGAGGCCGCCCAGCGAGGGCTCCCAACGGCCGAAGACAGTCCCGGGGCCCAGCGAGGGCCCCCAGAGGCCGAGAACCGTCCAAAGATTCCAACAATGCCTAATAAACAGAGCGAAAAAGAGTCGAAACATCGTCCCCAGAGCAAGTACTCTGACGAGTCTGAACTTCCCCAAGCAGTGCTTGCACTGTGAAGGGATCCTAGCGGAAGCTGAAGATTTGGCGAAAGTTTCCCGCCGATTTTGGTAGCAGGCTGGGTTCCCCGGTTCCCGGTTCCGGGTCCCCGGGTTCCCGGTTATTGGTTCCGGGCCGATTTCGGTGGGTTCTGGGTTCCCGGGCTCAGGGGGTCCCGGTCGATCTCCCCAGCGAAAACAATCCACTGATTGGGGTCTTCTCTGGTGTAATTTTCATTCATGACCCGAGCCGTCTGGGCACAGTCAAGACGCTAAGACGCCCAAATCCGGAACAGGTTGGGTTAAGAAAGAAGCTCGATGTTCCTTAGGTCCTTCCATGGCTGCCCCATCCACAGCCCTCCTCGTGGACGAAGGCGGCTCTGCCTCAAAGGGGCTCCGTTCCTTACTCGGCGCTCGTTGTGTCAACGGCCCGTGGCCGCTGTGGCCTGCTCTTCGCGGAGCTCTTCCACGTCTGAGCGCTTCCCCCCTCCTCCCCTCCCTAGAGATCCAACGCATTGAAAAAATCAAGACGGAGGTTTTTCACACATTTCGGCCCCTAGGGGCCCTCGCCGTGCCTCGGGACCGTCAAAAAACGACTCAGGATGAAAAACCGGTCCTGCGGAATCGGTCGAGATTTCCGGGGACCCCGTATCGAAAGAATCACGACATCGGATCCCTGGGTCGCGCAGCCGCCCTCGTCTCTTCGTTGCTTCCCCCTGCGCACGCCGGATTGCCCCGATTCGCCCCGCGCTGGTGACCGGACTGCCTCCCCAGAGATCCGACGTCGTGATTTTTTCGCAGCGTCGACCCCCAGAGGTCTGGACCCTTTCCCCAGGACCGGTTTTTCATCCCGAGTCGTTTTTTGAGGGTCCCGAGGCCCGGGGAGGGCCCCTGGAGGCCGAAATGGCGAAAAGCCTCCCGGTCGTGATTTTTGCACTGCGCGAGGGGGTCAGAGTCTGCCCCGCCGCCGACGAAAACAACAAAAAACAAAAAACATCCAGCGGCCCTGCTGTAAGGCAGACATCCGACGTTTCGATTTTTTCGAGACGCGGGCCCCCGACCTCCCGACCACCTCCCCGGGACCGGTTTTTCGTCCTGGGCCGTTGTTTGACGGCCCCGAGGCCCGGCGAGGGCCCCGATCGCTCGAGAGGCCAAAAACTATGAAAAACCTCTGTATCGATTTTTTCGAGACGCCCGATGTCTGGGGAAGGCCAGCGTGCTCGTCCTGCCTCGTTTTCTGACGGCCCCGAGGCCTGGGGAGGGCACCCGCCGCTCTACGTCCTGCTCGGAGCGCCGGATCTCCCCAGAGAGATCCGACGTTGTGATTCTTGTCCATGCGGGGTCCCCGGAACCGGACGTCTCGAAGAAATCGAGGCAGAGGGTTTTCATAGTTTTTGGCCTCGCCGGGCCTCGGGGCCGTCAGAAAACGACTCGGGGACGAAAAGCCCGTCCCAGGGGAGTGGTCGGGAGGTCGGGGGCCGCGTCTCGAAGGCAGACGCCCGATGTCCCCAGATCCCCGACGTAATGAATTTTTCATTACGTCGACCCCAGAGTTCTCGACCCCTTCCCCAGGACCGGTTTGTCCTCCCGAGGCGTTTTTTGACGCTCCCGAGGCCCGGCGAGGGCCCCCCGAGGCCGAAAATGGCGAAAAACCTCCCGTCGTGATTTTTTCATTCCTCGAGGGGGTCTGGGTCTGGGGAAGGCCGAGGCCCCCAGGCCGCCCCGCGCCCCGACGGCTGGGGAAGGCCGAGGCCCCCACCCAAACATCCGACGTCTCGATTTTTTCGAGACGCGGCCTCCCGACCTCCCGACCACTTCCCTGGGACCGGTTTTTCATCCCGAGTTGTTTTTTGACGGTCCCGAGGCCCGGCGAGGGCCCCGAGAGGCCAAAAACTAGGAAAGACCTCCGTCTCGTTTTTTTCGAGACGCCCGATGTCTGGGCAGGCCGCCCCGCGCCCCGCCAGGAGCGGCCGTCCTGGCCGCCGTGGCGGCCGCGGCGCCGGGCAGCGGCGCGGAGGGCGCCGCGCCCACGTGCGCAGACCCCGCGGCGGCGCAGGCGGCCGCCCGGCCGCCTCCGGCGGGCGCCTCGCTCGGACGCGTGCGTCGTTTTGCTCGAAGGGTGGCCCCAGACCCAGACCCCCTCGAGCAATGAAAAAATCACGACGGGAGGTTTTTCGCCATTTTCGGCCTCTGGGGGCCCTCACCGGGCCTCGGGAGCGTCAAAAAACGACTCAGGGTGAAAAGCCGGTCCCGGGGAAGGGGTCCGGACCTCTGGGGGTCGCGTCATGAAAAAATCATGACGTCGGGGGTCTGGGAGGGTGGCCCCAGATGCTCTTCGATGGTCCTCCCCAGGCAGCGGGCGCCTCGGAGAAAATGGAGACAGAGGTGTCTCCCAGTGTCTGGCCTCGCGGGGCCCTCGCCGGGCCTCGGGAGCGTCAGAAGACGACTCGGGACGACAAACCGGTCCCGGGGAAGTGGTCGGGAGGTCGGGAGCCCGCCTCCGGTTGGCCCTTGGCATCGCTCCCAGACCCCCTCGAGTAATGAAAAAAACAAGCCGGAGGTTTTTCGCCATTTTCGGCCTCTGGGGGCCCTCCCCAGGCCTCGGGAGCGTCCAAAAACGACTCAGGGTGACAAGCCGGTCCTGGGGAAGGGGTCGAGAGCTCTGGGGTCGACGTAATGAAAAATTCATTACGTCGGGGGTCTGGGGATGCTCTTCGATGGTCCTCCCCAGACATCGGGCGCCTCGGAGAAAATGGAGGCAGAGGTGTCTCCCAGTGTCTGGCCTCGCGGGGCCCTCGCCGGGCCTCGGGAGCGTCAGAAGACGACTCGGGACGACAAACCGGTCCCGGGGAAGTGGTCGGGAGGTCGGGAGCCCGCCTCCGGTTGGCCCTTGGCATCGCTCCCAGACCCCCTCGAGTAATAAAAAAATCAAGACGGGAGGTTTTTCGCCATTTTCGGCTTCCAGGGGCCCTCTCCAGGCCTCGGGAGCGCCAAAAGACGACTCAGGACGACAAACCGGTCCTGGCGAAGGGGTCGAGAACTCTGGGGTCGACGTAATGAAAAAATATTACGTCGGGGGTCGTCGTCGTTGTCGTCGTCGTCCTCGTCGTCGTCGTCGTCAGCCGCGTCGTCCTCGTCGTCGTCGTCCTCGTCGTCGTCGTCGTCGTCATCGTCGTCGTCGTCGTCCTCGTCGTCATCCTCGTCGTCGTCGTCGTCGTCGTCCTCCTCGTCGGCTGGCCCTTGGCATCGCTAGCTCGGACGTGTGCATTCTTCTTTCGGCGAGGGCCATCGAGGAGCACCCTCGATCATGTGGCGGGAGAACCACGCACGAAGCCGAAGAGAGCACAGGGAATAGACCTCCGAGCGATGTCTCCGGCGGGCGGCGGCCTCCGTCGTCGGCCTCCGCCGTCGGCCTTCGGACGGCCCCGGGCCCAGAGACCCAGCGTCTTGAGGAAATCAGAAAAACAGGAGGAGGAGGAGGAGGAGGAGGAGGAGGAGGAGGAGGAGGAGGAGCAGGTCTCCGAAGGTGTCCAGATTCCCCTGGAGGCGTTCGGAGGAGGCACACGGATGGAAAAATTTGAGGTTTTTCATAGTTTTTGGCCTCTCGGGGCCCTCGCCGGGCCTCGGGGCCGTCAGAAAACGACTCGGGACGAAAAGCCGGTCCCGGGGAAGTGGTCGGGAGGTCGGGGGCCAGCGTCTTGAGGAAATCAGGGCGGAGGTTATTCGGAGGTTGTTCGTCGATTTCAGATGTCTAAACAGGTTTTTCGGAGGGAGGTTATTCGGAGGTTATTCGTTGATTTCAGATGTCTAAACAGGTTTTTCGGGGGGAGGTTATTCGGAGGTTATTCGGAGGTTGTTCGTTGATTTCAGATGTCTAAACAGGTTTTTCGGGCGGGGGTTATTCGGAGGTTGTTCGTTGGTTTCAGATGTCTAAACAGGTTTTTCGGGCGGAGGTTATTCGGAGGTTATTCGGAGGTTGTTCGTTGATTTCAGATGTCTAAATCGCAGGTTATTCGGAGGTTATTCGGAGGTTATTCGGAGGCGTCTTGAGAAAATCAGGGCGGAGGTTATTCGGAGGTTGTTCGTTGATTTCAGATGTCTAAACCGGTTTTCTGAGGTTTTTCTCGTTAGAGGTGCCGGTTTTTCGCAGGTATTTCGGACGTCTTGAGAAAATCGAGACGGAGGTTTTTGGTTAATTTCGGCCCCCAGGGGGCCTTCGCCAGGCCTCGGAACCGTCACACAACGACTCAGGAGGGAAAACCGGTCCTGGGGAATGGGTCGAGACTTCCGAGGACCCCGCAGGACAAAAATCCAAACATCCGACATCTCGATTTTTTCGAGACGCGGCCCCCGACCTCCCGACCACTCCCCTGGGACCGGCTTTTCATCCCGAGTCGTTTTTTGACGGCCCCGAGGCCCGGCGAGGGCCCCGAGAGGCCAAAAACTAGGAAAAACCACTGCCTCGATTTTTTCGAGACGTCCGATGTCTGGGTTCCGGGGACCCCGATTTTTTCGAGACGTCCGATGTCTGGGTTCCGGGGACCCCGCACGGACAAAAATCACGACGTCGGATCTCTCTGGGGAGATCCGGCGCTCCGAGCAGGACGTGGAGCGGCGGGGGCACGGTGCCGTTCTCGGCCATCCGGGTGCCCTCCCCGGGCCTCGGGGCCGTCAGAAAACGAGGCAGGACGAGCACGCTGGCCTTCCCCAGACATCGGGCGTCTCGAAAAAGTCGAGGCAGAGGTTTTTCCTAGTTTTTCGCCTCTCGGGGCCCTCGCCGGGCCCCGGGGCCGTCAAACAACGACCCAGGACGAACAACCGGTCCCGGGGAGGTGGTCGGGAGGTCGGGGGCCCGCGCCTCGAACAAGTCGAGGCGTCGGATGTCTGGGCTGGGGAAGTGGTCCAGACCTCCGCATGGGAAAAACGACAAAAAAAATAGGAGTAGCCCGATACCCAGACATCCGACGTCTCGATTTTTTCGAGACGCAGCCCCCAACCTCCCGACCACTTCCCTGGGACCGGTTTTTCATCCCGAGTCGTTTTTTGACGGCCCCGAGGCCCGGCGAGGGCCCCGACAGGCCAAAAACTACGAAAAACCTCTGCCTCGATTTTTTCGAGACGCCCGATGTCTGGATATCTGGGGCGGCGAGCCCGGGGCGGCCTCCAGACGGCCCCTCGGCGGCCTTCGGACGGGGACCGTCGGGCGGCCAGCGGGCGGCCTTCGGCGAGCCAGGCTCCTGGTCCACGCCTTTCCTTCTCGGTGCCTCCGCCCCGTCGCACCCCCCCAGCGTGTCGCCCGAAGCGTCCTCACGACGGGTGCTCCTGCAGCTCGACACCTGCAGCAGCTTCTCACGGACGGACCCAGACATCCGACGTCTCGATTTTTTCGAGACGCGGGCCCCCGACCTCCCGACCACTTCCCCGGGACCGGCTTTTCATCCCGAGTCGTTTTTTGACGGCCCCGAGGCCCGGCGAGGGCCCCGAGAGGCCAAAAACTATGAAAAACCTCTGCCTCGATTTATTCGAGACGCCCGATGTCTGGGGAGGGGGGGCGGTTTTCAGGAATGTGGCTCTCGCCCTAACTAGCGCCGCGCACCTTCGTTGAAGCGTCTGCACCCGCTTCGCAGACGGTCGGGGGTGGTTTTCAAAATGTGGCTCTCGCCCTGCCGCCACGCACACTCGTCTTAAACAATTGCAGCAGCTTCACGGATAGATGGGGGGAGGTTCTCGCTCTAGCTCTGCGCACACTACTCGGAGGGGGGGATTTTCCAAACGTGGCTCTCGCCCCAGCGCCGCGCACATTCGTTTCACGGAAGAGAGGGGTCAAAATGTAGCTCTCGCCTGAACGCCGCACACATTTATCCCAAACGTTTGCAACAGCTTCCGGGATGGAGAGGGGTCGACTTGTGGTTGTCCCCTTAGCGCCGGGCTCATTGGTTTCAAGTGTATGTCGCATTTTTTACGGATGGAGGGTGGCCCCTTTTCAGAACGTGGCTCTCGCGTTTCAAGCAGTGGCGAGGCGTCCCGGCGTGCCTATAGGCCTACCAAACAATGTTCTAAGAACCTTTGTGGTTTCCACGAAATGTTCTTAGAACATTTCTGGCTGGGACTGTCTTGTTTCTTGTTTTAGCACGTCGGGCTTATGCGCTAAGAGCACCGTGTTTGCTATTGGAACAGCTGTGGGCTCCAAGAAAGCTCCGTGGTAGGCCTACTGGAATGCCGGGACGGTCGGTCCCTGCTCAAGCGCTGGCGCCGCGCACACTAGTCTCAAACGTTTGCAACAGCTTCACGAGCCCTGACTCCGGATCCGCCCTACTGTGGGGAAATTCGTGAGTAGGGCTTGGAATTTGCGCCTTACTTTTCAAGCCCCGCTGATGCCAATTTCCGCCCTACTTTTCTGTTGCTGTATCCGCCCTACTTCCGTGGATTTCTGCCCTATCTTATGTACGGTGCATAGATTTCCGCCCTACTTTTTCGGCTTCTGATAGGTGGATGTCCGACGCAATTTCACGTAGGAAGAAAAGCCAAAGTAGGGCGGATCTGGAGTCAGGGAGCGGACCTGCTGTAAGGCAGAAGCCCCCTCTCGGGGGCCTCGTGGGGCCATCTTGGGGCCATCTCGGGACCTCCTTGGGGGCCTCCTGGGCGCTTCTTGGGGGCCCTCTTGGATTCGATCGATCCAACAAGATGGGAGCAATAATCCCAGACCCCCGACGTAATGATTTTTTCATTACGTCGACCCCAGAGTTCTCGACCCCTTCCCCAGGACCTGTTTGTGATCCTGAGTCGTTTTTTGACGCTCCCTAGGCCCGGTGAGGGCCCCCAGAGGCCGAAAATGGCGAAAAACCTCCCGTCATGATTTTTTCATTGCTCGAGGGGGTCTGGGATTAGCGCCCCCCCCCAGGAGGCCAAAATGGGGGGCCAACACACCGCCCGCCAGGGGGCGGCGGAGGTGGGAGGGCTTGCAAGCCGTGGCTCTCGCCCGGGCGCCGCGCACGTTCGCTCTCGGCGCCTGCCGCGGCGTCTCACGGGCGGCGGGCGGCTCCCTCGCAGAACGCGCGGCTCCTTCGCCCCGGGGCGCCGCGCGCACGCTCGTCTCGAAGCGCTGTTGCGCCAGCCGGACTGACGGAGGGCGGCTCCCGCCAGGGAGGAGGAGGCGGGAGGAGGAGGAGGGAGGAGGAGGGAGGAGGAGGGAGGAGGAGGGAGGAGGCCCCAGGGCTGAGGCACACTCGTCTCAACCGCTTGCCGCCTCTTCACGGATGGAGCGTGGCTGCTTTCCAAATCGGGGCTCTCGCCGTGCACCTTCCTCCAGAACGTTCGCACTGGCATCACGGAAGGACGGGGGCGGACGGTTTTCGACGTGTGGTTCTGGCCCTAGCGCCGCACACATTCGTCCGAAACCTTTGCAGCAGCTTCACGGATGGAGGGGGTGGTTTGCGCAATTTCGTTTTCTCCCTAGCGCCGCGCGCATTCGTCCCAAACCTTTGCGACAGCTTCAGAATGTCGTTCTCGTTCAAGCGCCGCGCACGTTCGTCTTAAGCGTTTACAGCATGTTCACGGATGGAGGGGTCGTGTCGTTTACCATGTGGTTGTTGTCCCTAGCGCCGCGCACATTCGTCCCAAACCTTTGCGACAGCTTCAGAATGTCGTTCTCGTTCAGGCGCCCCGCACGTTCGTCTTAAACGTTTGCAGCAGGTTCACTGATGGAGGGGTGGTGTCGTTTACCATGTGGTTCTTGTCCCTAGCGCCGCGCACATTCGTCCCAAACTTTTGCGACAGCTTCCGAATGTCGTTCTCGTTCAAGCGCCCCGCACGTTCTTCTTAAACGTTTGCAGCATGTTCACTGATGGAGGGGTGGTGTCGTTTACCATGTGGTTTTTGTCCCTAGCGCCGCGCACATTCGTCTTAAACAGTTGCAGCAACTTCACGGATGAAGCGCGGTTTCTTTTCAAAATGGGGTTCTCGCCCCAGCGCCGCGCGCATTCGTTGGTTTAGCATGTATCGTTCAGCAGTATGGAGGATTGTTCTTCTTTCAAAACATTGGAGTTCTTGGGACTTCGATAAGTAGCAGAACCCGAAACTTCAACGCACGTAGCGCTTCACGGATCAGGTATGCTTCGTTTCAAAAGCGGAGTTGTCGCGTGAGATGTTTTCGAAGTTCATGACCACAAGGGCGAAGACGTGTAATAGTTTCACGGATGCGGAGGTTCTTAAAAACGGCAGCGCTGGACATGTTGCTAAATAGTCTGATGGTTGATCATTGTTGTTTCTCGCGTCCTTGAAGTGGGACTTTCGCCAAAATGGCAGGCCCAATTGTGTTGGTCTTGCAAGGGGGCTCTCCTTGTATTGAAAAGGAGGACTTGTAGGGGCGCATGAGGAGGGGACTTGGGTCGGCAGAGTGTACTGCAGCATCGTTTCTGATTGTTTGGTTTGCTATGGTCTTCCTCCTCCTCCTCCTCATACTCCCGCCGCCTCCTCCCCCGTCCTTTCTCCCCCCTTCCCCATCCTTCTCTTCCCCCACCCCCCACCCCGTCCCGCCTCCCTCCCTCCTTCCTCCTCCCCTCCTTCTCCGCATCATCAGCAGCAGCACATTGTCAACGTTATCGTCCTCCCCACTGCCATCATCACCATTATCATCATCATCATCATCATCATCATCAGCATCATCATCATCATCATCATCATCATCATCATCATCATCATCATCATCATCGTCATCATCATCATCATCATCATCAGAAGCATCGTCATCAGCATCAGCATCAACATCATCATCGACATCGTCATCGTCACCACCAGAATCATCATCATCACCACCACCGCCATCATCATAGTCACCATCGTCATCGCCATCATCATCCTCCTCGTCATCATCATTATCAGCATCATCAGCAGAAGCGGCAGCATCATCAATACCGTCTTCACCAGCCATCACCATCACGATACATCACCATCATCATCACCAACAACATCATCAGCATAATCATCAGCATCATCATCACCAGTATCAGCATCATCATCCTCATCATCCCAAGCATCATCAGTCTCCTTCTCAGAATCATCATCATCAGCATCATAATCAACACCATAATCGTCCTCAGCTTCATCATCCTCCTTCTCAGCATCACCACAACTATCATCATGATCATAATCAGCAACATCATCACCAGCATCAGCATCATCATCAGCAGCAGCATCACCATCACCGTCATTCGCATCATCAGCACCATCATCATCGTCATCATCATCATCATCATCAGCAGCATCATCATCATCATCATCATCATAATCGTCCTCATCATCATCCTCCTTCTCAGCATCCACAACTATCATCATGATCATAATCAGCAACATCATCACCAGCATCAGCATCATCATCAGCAGCAGCATCACCATCACCGTCATTCGCATCATCAGCACCATCATCATCGTCATCATCATCATCATCATCAGCAGCATCATCATCATCATCATCATCATCATCATCATCATCATCATCATCATCATCATCATCATCCTTCTCCTCCTCATTCTCCCCTCCCCCCTTTGCCCTCCCCCCCGGGCACAGGCGGAGGCCGTGAGCGTGTCGCTGCTGCAGAAGCCGTCGGCAGCGCTCGCGCGGGGCGCCTGGGCTGCCGCCCCGGCCGTGGCAGGCGGGGCTGCCCCAGGCGCAGGGGAAGGGCGAGGGGGGGGGGGGGAGGGGAGGGGGAGGAGGTTAGTGGTAGGGGATGATAAGGAGGAGAGGAGGAGGAGGAGTTGGCGCAAGTGTCTGCAATAAGGGAGAAGAGGGGAGGAAGAGAGAGAGGAGGAGGAAGAGAGGAGAAAGGAGGAGGAGGAAAGAGAAGGATGAGAAGGAGGAGGAGGAGGAGTAGGAGAACTTTCCCGCTCCTGCTGTTTCGGCTGTTGCTGCTCCTCTTCTTCTCCTCCTCCTTCCCCCTCCTCCTCCCTTCTCCTCCTCCCTTCTCCTTCTCCTCTCCTCCATCCTCATCATCACCATCATCATCATCCTCAATCATCAATCATCATCATCATCATCATCACATCATCATCATCATCATCATCATCATCATCATCACCGTCACCGTCACCGTACACCTTCACCATCAAACCCACCATCATCATCACATCACATCATCATCACCATCGATCATCACATCATCATCATCTCATCATCATCATCATCATCACATCATCAACATCATCATCAACATCAGTATCATCACATCATCCACATCATCATCTTCATCATCATCATCAACTCATCATCATCATCATCATCCGAATCCGCCTCCGCCTCCTCATTTTCCTCCTCGTCCTTCTCCTCCTCCTCCTCCTCCTCCTCCTCCCTCTTCTCCTCCTCCTCCTCCTCCTCCTCCTCCTCCTCCTTCTCATCCTCCCCATCGGCCTCCTCCTCCTCCGCCTCCGCCTACTCATTTTCCGCCTCGTCCTCCTCCTCCTCCTCCTCCTTTTCCTTCTGCTCCTCCTCCCCCTCCTCCTGCTAATCCTCCTGCCCATCCGCCACTTCATCCGCGACCTCATCGTTCTCCACCTCCTCCAATGCACACAGATCCCGTGTCTGATTGCGCATAACGCGATGGGGTCATTTGGGGGCTTCCAGGTCCGCTATGATACCCGTCGGCGTATTTGGAACTTTGAGTGCAACCGGAAAGGATGCGTGGGGGAGGCGTAAGATGTCAGATATGGCGCGAGTGCGCCTAGCTTGTCCTTCCCAACTCTCTTTTTCTCTGCCTCCACCGCCTCCTCCTGACCCTCCTCGAGCTCTTCCTCTTCATTGCAGGAGAGGGAGGAGGATAAGGAGGCGAAGGAGGAGGAGGAGAAGGAGGACGCGGAGGAGGAAGAGGAGGAGGAGGGAGGAGGTAGGAGGAGGAGGAGGAGGATTGATTGAGGAAGGGATAGAGGATAGAGGAGATAGGAGCAGAGGACGAGAGGGACGAGGACAGGAGCAGAGGAGGTGGGGGGGGGGTGGGAGGGCGAGAGTGATTTACAAGTGATGGGAATCAGAGGGGTTTAAAAACGAATCGTAGGATGAAGGTGGAGATTCTACAGACATAACCAGTAGGTAGAAGAATAGGACGATTCCACCTGATCACCATCAGCATAATCATAAACGCTTCCTTAAGCATAAGCGTAATCATCATCAGCAGTAGGTAGCATCAGCATCAGCATCATCATGCTCAGAAGCAGCATCATCATCATCAACATCATCATCATCATCATCACCATCATCATCATCATCATCATCATCATCATCATCATCATCATCATCATCATCATCATCATCATCATCATCATTACCATTATCTTCAGCATCGTCAGCATTATCATCATCATTGTCATTATCATGATCATGATCATCCTCATTATCATCGTCATCAGCATCAGCATCACAATCAGCATCATCAACCTGATCATCAGAATCATCCGCATCATCGGCATAAGCATTATCATCAGAATCACCATCATCATCAGCAGCATCATCATCGAGCTCCTCCTCCTCCTCCTCCTCCTCCTCCTTGGCCTCTCCCGCCTTGTCGAGCTTATGCTTCTCCTGGTTGCAGGCGGGTCCAAGTCGACCAACACTACGCGCCAGAAGACCCGCGGTGGGCACGCTTACTTCAAGAGCATGCGCAGAGGCAGCCGCGGCTACGGGCACGCGCTGATGATGCGGCTGGCGGAGAGGCTGGTGACCGATCGCGGCGACGGGCACGCGAAGAGCTAGAGAGCCGGTGGGCTCCCCTGCGGGTCGCCGCTCCTCTGCGTCGCCCACCTTC